TGTATCCAGGGAGAACTACACAGCAAGGGAAGAAAGGTCTCCAAAAGAGCAACAAGAATAGCCCAGATGTTAGATAATAATAATAAAAATAAAACAATGCACATTTAAAAGAGGAGATGGAAGGAACTCGATTTGCTAAGTACAGAAAACGCAAAAGAAAATGGCATAACAAAGTGTCCTCAAGATTCATATTAAAATGTTTAAATGTTCACAATATGGCAATGAAATTTAATTAAAATCTGGAGAAGCATTTTCAATGGTAATGCCAGAAGACTATCAGAATAAATTTTCTGAGAAGGGCAAGTCTCCGATTTTTGTTAGTTCCTTTGTTCTGGGAATGCGTTAGAGGGAGTTTCTGCCAGAAGCAAGGAATATCTATGTATGCACAAATGTCAGTCACCTCCCTTTACTTCCTCATATCTCACTAGCAGGTTTCTCATCAGACCTTCCAACTTCCAAATCAATTATTACCAGAATGTGTTTGCTATTACTAATACATAACTTCTAATGCAGATGCTTCATAACATTGTAAGAAAATAGTAAAAATGTAACCTTAAAATCTTCCTAGAAGGATAGTAACAGAGGAAAGGCGATCCATTTGAACTACATTTTGGAGGAGAGCCTGTAAATACAGCAGAAGTAAAAAAAAAATCCACCAGTGACTTCAACCCTTTGGCTTGTTTTGTGTGTCCGCATAGCCCTGGCTTGGGCACGAGGCTGGCTCAGCCCAGGGCCACACGGATCAGGACGGCTGATCTGGGCTGATCGGGTCTCGAACCCGACGCTGCCGAAGGGAGACCTGTGGGTGCGTTTCCAGGGCAGGTGGGGAGAAACAAGGAAAAGCAGCCACATGCTCTAATTAAACATCAGCAGCTGGACCTATTAAAGCACTAAACACAACTCACTTCCTCATGTGAAACTCAGCTACAGAAGAACTCTTGAGAACCAAAGCAGGAGAGCAAATTGAAACATGTTGTCGTCTACTGGAAGGGTCTCTAGAGAATCCTGAGAGCAGAAGACCAGGAGGAGCCTTAATCCTCTGCTCTTCACTAGCGCACAAGACCTCATGTGAAACTCAGCTACAGAAGAACTCTTGAGAACCAAAGCAGGAGAGACCCTTCTACTGGAAGAAGGGTCCAGTAGATACTAGAGAATCCTGAGAGCAGAAGACAAGGAGGAGCGCTAATCCTCTGCTCTTCACTAGAGCACAAGATAGAAACACTGTTTTAAAGCTCTGCAGCTCTGTCTGAATCTGGCTGTTACCTTCTGAACTTCGGCTTATGCTGCACTTTCCTGTAACCAGCATCACTGCACACTGTGACCAACAGGGCACTCCTGCTGCCCTTCTCTCCTCCAGCACCTCTGCCCATGGGATCACCTGATCATCTGCTGCTTCCCCTCAGCAGGACAGCACAAGTGTAGCGAGCAAGATGAGGAACCTGCGTTAAAGCTAACCCCTTTGCTTTATCTATCTATCTATATACATATAAAGTGATTATAACAATAATAAATCGTTAGCTGCAATCCGGGTCATTCATCCTGTTCACTTACAATAACACCGTGCGGCGTGTGGGGCTAAGGAACTGGCATAGGGAGTAATTTAATGCCTGCAGGCTGCATCTTTGAAGCATAACTGACACACAGCTTTAAGCTGAAAACATGAAAAGCTAAATACACATCATGTTATAAGAGCAAAAGACAAAAAAAAGTCACTGTATGAGGCTTGTGCCATGTATATCTATGTATATGAAGGGTTTAGCATAGAGCCTTTAAAACCTTCAGACAATAAGGAGGGCACTAGAACTGAAAGTTAGTAAGTTCAAGCTGTTGGTTACCTAAATGAGGTAAAAGAAACAGGAGCCATTACGTAACAGCTGCTCATCTTCAGGAAAACAGGAGATGAGAGAAAAGAAATTTTTTAAAAAAAGACACTGCTGTTAAAAGAGGACACTCCAGCAGTGTCTGGAATTAAGTGTCTGTTAAAAGAGCAGTGTCTGTTAAAAAAAAGCAGTGTTAAAAAGCAGTGTTAAAAAGTTAAAAAAGCAGTGTCTGTTAAAAGAGGACACTCCAGCGGTTTTCCCAACACCCAAAGCAGTGCCGTGCCAAAGGAAGCCCCCTTCACCCAGGGAAAGGCGCGTGCCGAGTAATAAATCATCTCAGGTTGGGTTTTTAATCGCCCGAGTAGAGCATCAAGCGCAAATGAGAAGCTTCCGGCGCAGAGAGGGGATTGCGGGGCCCGGGGCAGTCCGCACCGCCCTGGGCCCCTTCGGAGCCGCCCCCACGGGGCCGCCGCCTCCCCGCGGCGGGGACCGGGCCCGG